CGGAAACCTGTAGGGGCAGAGACATATCGGAGAGGGCCATTGATGTTGCAGGCGCCCTTACGCTTAGAATCTTGGGTTGGAGAGTAGATAATCAGGATAGTAGGATGGTCGGGAAAGCCGTGTCTCGGACCGCATGAAGATTGAGTGAGCAATGGTGAAACGCTTATGCAGAGAAGCCACAGAAGGAGAGCAGGAAGAAGCTGCGAGGAGGGCAGACATGTACTTGGAAGATGAGCCGGAGTTCAGCGCCGCTGCAGGATGGGCAGCCTGCGATCAGAAGAGTGAAGAATACAGGTATGGATGCCTTTGATTAGGAGTCCGATTGACGGCTCAGCACAGCTACTTGGCCAGCTGCATCTGATAGATCAGAAGATTAAGTAGAGAGATGAAGCACGACCGCCGAAGCGACCCTGGGAGCATAGGTGCGAGTCCGGCGCAGCGCGGCATACTCAGCCGGGCTGCGTCCATTAGAAGCAGGATAAGCTTCTGAGAGAGTGGGTTGCAGTAGCAGTAGCAGCAGCGGCAGCAGCAGTAACCTCAGATAATAACAGCAATAGTCCTGTATCAAGCCGCGGCAGCAGCAGTAGCAGCAGCAGCAGCAGCAGCGTCCTTAGAAAATAACAGTAATATTTCTGTATGAAAGCCACAGCAGTAGAATGTTGTTGTAGCTGTTCAGTGTTTCAGTAAAAGAGATGCAAGTGAAGAGAGATGGCAAAGTAAATGAAGCAGCAGCAGCAGTAGTAGCAGCAGTAGCCGTATGAAGCAGCAGCAGTAGCAGTAGCAGTATGAAGCAGCAGCAGCAGTAGCAGCAGCAGCAGCTGCAGCAGCAGCTGCAGCATCCGTAGATAATAACAGCAATAATCCTGTATCAAAGCCAGAGCAGTAGAATATTGTTGTAGCTGTTTAATGTTTCAGTAAAAGAGATGCGAAGTGAAGAGAGATGTCAAAGTACATGAAGCAGCAGCAGCACGGCAGCAGATGCAGTATGAAGCAGCAGCGGCAGCAGTAGCAGCAGTAACGGTAGCAGTATGAAGCAGCAGAAGCAGCATTAGCAGGAGCAGCAGTAGCAGTAGGAAGCAGCAGCAGTAGCAGCAGTAGCAGTATGAAGCAGCAGCAGCAGCAGCGGTTGCAGCATCCGTAGATAATAACAGCAATAATCCTGTATCAAAGCCACCGCAGTAGAATATTGTTGAAGCTGTTTAGTGTTTCAGTAAAAGAGATGCGAAGTGAAGAGAGGTGTCAAAGTAAAGAAGCAGCAGCAGCACGGCAGCAGTAGCAGTATGAAGCAGCAGCGGCAGCAATAGCAGCATTAGCGGCAGCAGTAGCAGCAGTAGCGGTAGCAGTATGAAGCAGCAGAAGCAGCATTAGCAGCAGCAGCAGCAGCACAATGAGATTCATACGAACAACAGACGTGTCACGCCAGCGTGCGCCGCTTGTCTCCGTGAGCCAGGTTACATACGTGTCTGAAAGAGCCGAGCCGTAGAGACAGGTGCAGCCTGGGAGCCCGCGGAGCGGCAGCGGCAGGAACAGCAGCAGCGGCACATGTAGTAGTAGGAGCAGCAGGAGCAGGCAACGGGGACAGACAGCAGCAGGAGCGGCAGCAGGAGCGGCAGCAGGAACAGGCAGCAGCGGGAACAGGCAGCAGCGGGAACAGGCATCAGCGGGATCAGGCATCAGTAGGAACGGCAGCAGGGACCACAGCAGGGACCGCAGCAGCGGCGGTCAGAGAACCATGCCCATGGTTGTTTAAGAGCCTGAGGAAATAAATAAACCCGAATCCGAAACATTCCCATGCGAATAACAGATGTCTCCTGGAGCCATCTGCTGCTTTGGTTATGGCAGATACGCATGAACGATCACTTTTCCATGCGTTCATTAGCTCCAACTCCACTTCAAACCCATTGCAGATTCACATTGGGCCCTTTTTCTTTCTGCTGCACTTTCAAAATGCAACAACTGCAGTTTAGTTACCCAATTTAATACTAGTGACCTAGCTATTTAAATGCATGGCCCCTCTTTCCTCCCGCAGATAGACGAATTTAAATACATTCATTTAACAATAGTGACCTGCGAGTAATGAGATTAATGCTGTAAAGATGGCGCCGTGGCAAGAGTTCTGGTGTGTGCCGTCTGGAGCACGATGGGGTAGTCTTTGCACATTTTTCCAACGTGGTTTTACTGCAAGTGGCAGAACATGAATCGGAATTATGCACATTGCTCCTCTTATATCCCTCAGACAATAGAGATTGATGCCATTTAATATGCATTGCCCTTCAGTTAGCTCAAACACGTGTGAAAACGGAGCCTGCAGACCAAGCACGGGGCGAAAACTGACGCCTGCAGTCAAGTGCGCAGGGCAAAAACCAGCCGCCTGCAGCCTAGACTCCGGGATTAATCCGTCCGCGGTCGGCACACTCACTGTACTCACATGCCAGGAGACTTGGGAAAAGCAACGGGACAACGCGGCACCGCCAGACCGTCTGCGCGCGGCAGCAGACCACGAGGAACGAGCAGCACAGAAACCGCGGAGGGGCCCCGCGGAGCAGCCCGCAGAAGAGCCCGCAGAGGAGGAGAGCAGTGGAGACACGCGAACCACAGCAGGTGCAGGGACGCGGAGGAGGAGCAGACCACGAGCAGCCAGACTGAGGACAGCCGGGCCACGCGCACGAGCAACACGTGAGCAGAAGCGACCCCTCCAGAACAACGCATGCATTTGCGAACAGGTGCGTTAGCGACATGCACCTTGCAGACTTCAGAAGTTTGCAACCTTCAGAAGGCCGGGAAGTGGGCGTCTCCGGCTTTTAACTTGCTGTCCTGGTGGTTATTGGTGGATAAGATGTGGGCGTTTTGCTGGTGTAATGAGTAGAGGATGAGCAGGCTTGTAGATCTGGCGGCAGCGGCCGGGTCTACCACAGTGAATTTTCGCGAAGAGCTCCATATTTATGTGCCTTTATATTAGAGTTTGAGCATTCTTGTCCTGTATTTTTTAGTTTTAGTGCTTATCAGGGGGAAAAAACAGCTGGTAAAATAAAGTAGAAAATGAATACGATAAGATAAATTAACATTAACAATAATGATAATAATAATAATACATCTTAGCTTAGCAGTTTTAATGCATTTGGACAAGAGCCTGAAGTAAAATGTGCTTGGTGTGTAGTTTGTGTGAGGCGACTGCTAACTGGTGTCTAAATGGGTATTTAGATGTCTAATTTGATTGATCTCATTTGATTAGGCTGTTAGTCTGTAGGCCTTGGGGGAAACAGAAGCTGTGTCAGGTAAAAAAAATAACCCACAATCAATAAGTGCGCTCCACTGAGTCTGCTCCGTCTGGGACATGGCCCCATCTACAATCTACATTAATGCATATGTTTGGGGAAATAAGACTATACTTTTCATTCACAGCTGAAGTGTTGGTGTGTTGGTATATGCTCAATGTCATTGTAACATGGATCCTGAATTGGCTTTTGTAATCAGAAAAAATACAAAGCTGTAAAAGCTATTTTTAACCTTTAAAAAGTGATACTCCTATAGTGACATTCAAGGAAGTGAGACAGTGACAAAAAAGAAGCTTATCTAATCTATTCAATGTTCAAGAGCAAAATGCACTGTGGGTGGCACAGTTGTGCTTGTGCCTCACAGAAAATTGGACAGAGGGGGTAGAGTCGGGCCTATGACCTGGACTTCATAAAATCTTTTGACACTGTCAATTCAGACATACAAATAATAACTTTTCACCAACGGTTCTGCAATGAGTGGAATCATTAAAAGACAGGAAACATGTGTGTCAGGGTTAACAATACAATATCATGTAGGTGTGACCCAGGGCTGCTCATGGGATGCACAGCTGAACAGAACTGTTTTAACCTGGATTTGAACATTGTAAGAGAAGAAGCCTGTCTCACATTTTTAGGAAGACGGTTTCAAATTTTTGCTGCATAAATCTGAAATGCTGCCTCCTCATGTTTAGTTCTGACTTTGGGCACCAGAGTTGAGGTCAGTCCCTGTGCTCCTCTGAGTCTGAGTTGGTTCATATGGCTCTAACATGTCTTGTATGTACTTTATCCCCACCGCTGTCACTTGCATTAGGACTGAATAAAAAAATAACCTGCACTACTATTGACACTGTTTCTTGATTGACACTGTTTCTTGATTGCCACTTTTGAATTGCCACTTTTTATAGTACATAATATATCCTGCATTTAACATGTTTGCACATTTCTTTCTTTTGCACAATCTTGAGTGTTTCTATCCATGCCAGATGTGACATGTAAATTTCTCCTGTGTGAGATCAGTAAAGTCTGTCCTATCTTATCTTATCTTATGTACTTTAGCGCGAGGCTATGGAGAGACTTGTAACAAGCAGAGCTGCTTTAAAGTCTATTTTCTGAGCCACAGGAAGCCAGTCCAGAGACCTGAGGACTGGACTGATGTGATCGTACTTCCTGGTTCTAGTCAGGACTGGAGTTTGAACATACTGCAGCTGTTTTAGAGTTTGTTTGGAGAGACCATTGAGCAGGCCGTTACACAAATGCATGGATAAGAATCTCCAAGTTTAATTTAGACACTACATTTTTGATCCTGGTAATGTCTTTTAGGTGATAACAAGCTGCTGATGTTGCTGATTTGATGCAGCTGTTATAATTTAAGTCTGAATCCCTTTTACCCCTAGATTTCTGACCTGATTTGAAGGTTTTAGGAAGAGAGACTGGAAGTGACAGATGACATTCTCTCTTTGTTTCTGGGGACCAAAGTTTAGCTGAAGAAAGTTGTTTTGCATCCACTCACTGATCTGTTGGATGCAGGGGAACAAAAACAGAAAGCTTTACTTTAAAAGTACCACCTGCAGGAGGATCATTGAGGGGCTGGTGCAATGTGTACTGGGTGCAGCTCTGACTGCTACCCCCCCCCCCGACCCAGAAATGGATTAAGGGGAAGAAAATGGATGGATGGATGGATGGATATCTGACAGCAGGTCTTTTCTTTATGTTTTCTGTCCACAGATACATAGAGAACTGGACTGGTCTGCAGACACTCGGAGACGTCGAAATGGCACTCTACACTGGTCTACAACGGCTGTGAGTGATACTGCTCTACACACTTTTTTCATTTAAGATCATGTGAGCGGAGGGGTGTTAAAGTATATCCAAAAACAGTAAATAAAAAAAAAAGAGGAAGAGTCTAAACTTCTTCCTTATTTTTGCCACAGAACCATCACAAAGAGCAATCTACATTTCCTTCAAGACCGCATCTTCCACAAGAATCTACAACTACGCTACATGTAAGTACAGTAACGTAAGATACAGAGATGAAGAGTCTGGCTCCTAAACGCGGTTTCTACTCTCAGCCAGGGCACCTGAAATACAGTGGGCAATGTAGCAGCTAATGAACCTGAGACCTCTGTGTGCGTATTGTGCCTTTGTGATCAGATTGCTATTCTACACCTATGGTTGCCCTTGTATTTAACGGGCTCAAGGTGAGGAGGCCTGCAAGAGCTGCTGGAATCAATCAAAATCACTATAATTTGTTAAGATGTTTATTTATATTTCTGAAATGTGTTCTGCTTTCAATTTGTTAATATTTAATATTGCAAATGGGACCCAAGTGCTATTTCCATTGGTACACAGAGGGTGCGAACTAGAGGATATTCATGATTTTCAGAAGGATGAAAAACCATACCAATTACCAGTAAAATTCAATATTTTACCTTTTGAATCATCCTCCACAATGGTCCTGGAAGAAAAGATCCTCAAATGTTTCAGGACACAGGGAGTTAAACCCCATATGTGCAGTATTTTTGAAGCAGACAGAGTCTTATCAGTCTTTTGAGGCAAAAGCTTCAGTTGTAGAAATCTGATGACCCCCGGATACTGAAATGTCAATAGAAGCTTTTGCTTGTAATTGCTTTATGGTTGTCAAGCATTCTCATCAGCTCCTGTTAAAGGAAGAGTCTGTACAAGGATCAGGTCTTAGATAACCGGGCATTTGGAGTGTCTCCCACCAGGGTCCAAGCCGGCTCCGCACATTGGTGGCCATCTTGTTGTGGCTCCTGCTTCCTGAGCAGCAGGAAGTGGGCAGATGGTGTTTGCTTCTCTCTTTGTACACTTGTGCCACACTGTGTTGCTAGGAAACATTTTTCATTCATTCAGTCCCTGCAAATATCTTTTATACAGGTCAGATTAACAAAAAAACAGTTAAGGATTGAATTAACCAATATTGAGTTTTTAATTTCAGATAGTTCCTTTTGTAATTATGCCTTACAGGGGTCCATTTGGCAAGCTATACAGATTATTTTTACATAGATTGAAGATGAAGCTGACTTCAGGTTACCTCCAAAAAAAAAGTGGATGCACTGAAATGAGACTAACAAGGAACTAACAATTACATTATAGAGGTTATCTGGATCAAGTCTGAATCCAGAAATATTTACAGGATTGGTACTGTTAGCTATCTTTTGGCTTAAGTTAAGTCTCCCTATGCCTAGCAATCCACCTCTGGACTAACTTCAGTGCAGTGACTGTATAGGCTACATGATAAGTCATTTATTTTGCTGGTTGTTTATCAAAGTCGCAGCAGTTGTTGAGGAGGTGGTGGGATGTCAGGTGATCGCACACCTACATTCAGCCACACACTGACAGATGTAATTACTGACACTCCAGACCAACCCCAGTCACACAGCTCAAAATAGACCGGACTCATTCGGTTTGCGAGTGTCTATGCCATTACTGATAATAGCACCACACAGGACTTAAAGAGGAGATAAAAAATGCTCATCAAGACACATGATGGCAGGAGGGTTGTTGGAAGCTATAATGTGGATCATTCCGAGGTTTCTCTCTGTTCTCCCACTGGGTTTTAGAGTTTTTCCTTTGCAGAGAGGTGTGTGTTAGAATGTTAGAGTGTCCTGGATCATCACCACACTCTACTACATTTATGGACATTTGTCAACATTCATGGACATTGGTCTCTCCCTATGGACCGATACGTATGTGTTCTATATTTTTTGCGTCTTAACTGTTGATTTTCTAATCTGTGTTGGCGATTTCAACGGTTCTGTTAAGTACTCTGAGATGACTACTGTTGTGATATACGGGACTATACAAGAATAAAGTGAATTGAATAGTTTGTCAAGCCCAAACCTTGCCAGTTCACACAGTTGTCGTTTTAAATTTTTTAGTGGAAACCCATTTTGTCATATTGTGTGAGTTCACATTACAATAAATACAAATCACTTACAAGAATTATACTATGTGAATTAAATATGCAAACAATTTTTTTTTTCTAGGTGAAAAAATGACTTCTACAATGCAAAGTTAAGTTGAAAAAAGTGCTAATATTTGGCAAACCTTTATCTGAACTTAATCATATTCTGACTGCCTTAGAACAAGATTCTCCAATCGGACAAAGCAAAATGATCTTGTTTTGAAAAGAGACAAGAAAATAATAAGTTCTTGAAATAAGACTAAATGGCTTGTCCCATTGGCAAATCTTGTTTTAGTTAGAATGTACCTAAATTAAGATAAAACACACATGATTCAAGCAATTATTGACTCATATGTTATAATTTTTTTTGCAGTGTATACGTTCTGTTTACTTATCTATTACTGGAAAAAGCGTCTTAAAGTAGGCTACATACCGTTACTTTTGTATCGCTCTGTCTTATACCTTGGACTGCACTGGAGCAGACAGGAAAGTGTCAACCACAGATGGTGCCTTGCGTTTTGCACAGGAAGTGATAGATTTCTTCAAGAATCTCCCTATGATGCATATATTTACATTGATTCACACTATAGCACAGTTGCTACAAGCAATATGCCACATCCGTGACCAATGACAGTTCAAATCAAAAAAGCAAGAAAAAATAAATTAACAGAGAAATGTGTTCGGTCTTGTGGATTTGAGCGTTGGGAGGAATACTGATGAAGTAGTCTATGAATAATAAAGACAGTTACATCACACGCTGCAGGAGTCAGCTTCAGATGAGCTGCAATCAGACTGAGACAAGCGGACCAGGAAACAGAGAAACATACTCATTCATTCATGTCAGCCCAGCACGTACAACTCTGAACAGGGAGAAACCATCCACACAGAGGTTACTAGATAGCAGCCTCTCAGCTTGGCACAACACAAGGTTCACGTTCCCTATCGATATTCTAAAAAGCATTTGATACGTCTTCGTAAGACAACAACATGGCAACTTCTCTTTGCAAGGAAAGTAATTGTGAGTTCAAAAATAATAAAAAAATGCACTTTAATTCAGGACTATTCTTTGTTTTTTTTTTTTTATCTTTTGTAGTCCTTCAGTCAATCCTAGTTTACCAAATTATGTATTTCCAAATTATGACCAATCTCTTTATATGATTACGGATACGGTGTATCTAAGTTGCACCAAAGCAAAGTGGATAGACAATTGCTTTAACTGGACACAATATTATTTAATGACAAGGTTTTTTAACCATAGACTGTATATATTAACGAACGTAGTCACGCCTATCTCCGCTGTTCTAACTAATGGGCCAAAATTAGGCTCTCATTGAGTGATTCAAAATGGCTGCGGGGGCTGAAAAATGTTTAAAAAACGCATCTGCGCATGCGTCAGCCGGTACAAGCCCCATTCATTTAAACGAGTGACTTCAAAAACAGCGAGTAAACTAGAGTGGTCCAAAAAAATTCACCCCCCTCAGCATTGACACACATGTGGAACGGAGCTTTGGGCCAAGAGCCAACTTTTGGACCATCCTGTAAAGGTGTTTCCGAGCGGTAAGAAGATGCTATACGTTAGCATTGGCTAATTCTTGTTCCGGGTCCACCCCCATTGGCCCGGGGTGGTATTGCAAGCATGTCAGCGCACATCATTTTGGCCACTTTTGAGCCGGGATCTCGTTGTCACGAGATCAAAGCACTCTGGTAAATACAGGCCACTCTGGTAAATACAGTCATGTTGACAGTAAATGTGTGTCACATTCTCACTAGTACTTGGTAGAGTCAATCTAAGCAACTCGTCCATAAACTCTGTCCTGTGTGTTTTCTCGTCTCAACTATCTCTGCTGTTCACATAAACACAACGGAAAGAAGGAATGTGTGCATCAGCTCTGGAAAATAAGCTGATCTTTATCCATATCCATTCTTGTAAAAATGTAAACACATGTTTTACATTTCCAAAATATTTTGGGTATATTGATTTATGATTGACTAATTTCATGTCGTATGCAATTTTAATATTTGTTGTTTTTAGCTACATAGTTTTCTTTGGGGCAGATCTTTTGTCATTCCCCTTTTTTAGAGACCAATTGATCAACTGGTTATGTCTTCAATAAACCAAACATTTCTTTGCTCAACTTTAGCCCTGCTTTGTTTTATTCCCTCACAACAATATAAAATGTTTTCTGTCTTCTTCTGGTATGATGATGCAACAGTGCCATGCCGTACCGTGCACTTGTGGACAGAAGGCCAATGGGACCCTGACTAATCTGAATGCCATTATTAGTGTGACCCTTTTAGCCTGGCAGCACATTAACCATGGAGCCGGTGTTAAACATGGCGACACGCTCACAGTTTGATGGAGCAGCTCTCATTAGGTTATAATTAAAGTCATTTCTTTGGCTTGGCGCTGATATCTGACAATCACCATGGTAACATGGAGACAGCTTGACGAATGGGAGTGTGTATGGAGGATGGAGAGCCTGCTGTCTGCTTACATGTAGCTGCTATAGTTTTAGCTTCTCTGTTTCATGTCCAACTCAGAACAAGCCCTGCATTCGGTTTTCTCACTGCAAACTCGGGCATGAATCACAGATCAGAAAAAGTATAAAAATTTAATATAAGTCCTGCTGTATTTTGTTTTAACAATTCAATAGGAAATAGGAGCTTAAAGATTTGTATTATTATTTTAATAATACGGCATCTAATCTTTCGGTTCAAGGAACGTCTGGAGGAGTCTGAAAACGGCATAATTCGGACTCTGACCAACGGTAAAATGAGCTCATGTCGCTACACGTCTGCTCTTAGAAAGCACTGGACAGTTACACTCTACCATATATAGATCTGCTGGGACTGACTATACATTGCATTATTATTTGTTTTATTTTGTATGCAACAATTTTATCTTGGGTCTGACATAAAAATGAATAATAATAATAATAATAAATGTTACAAGACATAAATGTTATTTGGATTGAACCCTTGGATTTCTTAGTCTTCCTTTCTGGTCAAATTCAGAATCATGCTACAAAACCATTCAGACCAATTACATTTAGAAACCATCTCAAAAGCATCATAATCATCTGACTGAATCCTCTGGCACCGAACATGATCAGGAACCCGTTCAAACAATGACCTCCATATGCACATGATTCATTTTCTTTGTGCCCATGGGAGAAAGAGTGTGCATGGTTTAAATGTGCATTATTGGAGCCAGGTTGACCTTTGAAAAGGACACATCTGCATGTTCACAGGCCTGGCACACGGGCACATACATACTAATGTGCTTTCATTAAAAAAACAAGTGGAAAGAAAATGATCTTTTTGTTACTGTAGAACACAAGATCTAAAATGTGTTATGTACACTCAATCTTCCAGAACTTCCAGACCATTTCCATGAGACATCCAAGAGGCTTGTTCAAATACAAAGTACAGAAGTCTTCTTTGGGACGTACGGTATATGATAAGATAAGATCAACTTTATAGATCTCACAATGGAGAAATTTACATGTCGCATTTAGCATAAATAGGATCACTAAGGGTGTGCACACAGACAGGAAATGTGCAACCATGAGGATTAAACAACACTTTCTTGTCCTTGAGTTTTGTTTGCACATTTCATGTTAAATTCCTATTAAACAACTCTGACTTCTTGTGCACTTTGAGTTGCCTTGTGTATGAATTGTGCTATATACGCCTTGTTCTAGAGTTGCTTAATCCTCATGTTTACATATTTTCTGTATATTTATGTATATACAGAACACAAAACATATCTAAAGTAGGATTACTGCTTTAGTTTGGGAGCCTGACCACAATGATTTTGCTACCATTTCCTTACTATTATTAATCAATGTTACGCTCTTCAGGATGAGTTAATGTTCCTTTGGCTCTGTTTGAACTGTCTCTTTTATAATATGTACAACTAAACTGGAGAAAATGCACAAATATTCTCATTCTTTGCCTTTATTTATCAATAATACGCTCTTCAGGATGAGTTAAGGTTCCTTTGGCTCTGTCTGAATAATCTCATTCTTCGCCTTTTGTTTTTTGTCCGTTATTCACATACATTGTTTGTTCTTCCCTCAGAAATTTATCGAAGAACCCCATGTTGACCAGACTATCCTGGGAGGTCTTTGATAAACTGCAGCTTTTTGAACTGTAAGTATCTTTTATTGGTTTTACATGACATACAGTAGATAAACCCATAGCACAAAAGGCAAATGGTCAACTGTTTATAATAAGTTATATATACTGCGAGAGCATGGTTTTCCTTTTTTACTGTACTACCATATCCAACTTTTAAAAAAAAACCTCAGACCTTGTATAGACCTACAGTACAAACAAAGAAAGATTAGTAAAAAAGAATAGAAATCATTTGTATTAATAGAAGTTATGTATGGGTACTTTTCACAACATTTCAAACCATAACTATTTAAGAACATCATTATAAATACTTATTTGCAGGATTGCCTCTTAATTTAAACACACAATAAGAATGATTAATCTTAACCATAAACTGCTGCTGTTATGGGACCAGTTTGAACAGCGCCCCCTCCTGTATGTAGTACAGACAACAGAAAAACAACATGTATTTTTTGTTTATCCATTGGTTTGTCAGTTTGTTTGCACCATAACTCAGAAGCTCTTTTCAAACAGCGTAAACTGTAATTACAGAAAAGCAAAACAAAAGCACGTGGGAGAGTGTGGAGGTGTTTATTAGGCATTGCGCGCTCCATTGGTCCCAGAGGAAGCTCTAACCGGAGAATCTGCGGCTCTCTTAGCAAAGGTCATTTTCTGGTTTTTATGTTTTTATGTTTTTTTTACTGTTTGATGTTACCTCTGCTTGAGTCCTGTGAGCTTTTCCTTATGCTGACAGATCTGGTTTGATCTTAACTGGTGGTGGAGGGGGACAAATAATGCACTTATTGATCCAGGGGGTTGTCATATTAGTGTTTATGGCGTGTGCACTATTACACAACACAGGCAGTTGGGTGCATTCATCATGACACGCGTCTAGAGGCCACACAATCTACTCACAATACGCAAGGCATTCGTTGCATCAATGCTGCAAAGAAAAATTAAAACGTAAAAGGACACTATAGAACATAAATAATAGATAGTATAATACATCAAATATATGCCATATATTGGATATTTCAGCCAAACAAACAACATTTCCATGGAAACAAGCCGGAGTAGCGATAAGTACAAGTCATATTTGTGGAGGTGGAAGCATGCTCAGAGAAAGGATGCATGTTTTCAGGCTTTTCAATGCTAGAAAAAGTGAAAGAATGGTGCTATGATATATTTCATAGCAAAAATATGACATGGCTTTAATCATATGAAAATTAGATTGAGCTTTTTATTGTATAGCTGTAACCATGTAGCCCTGTACGTTCTGTATTCCCAGTGTGGGTTGATACTACAGGAAATATTGTGCTCCCCTGAGTATATAGTCATCTCCAGTCCAACCATGCATCACCGTCTTCCTGTCTATGACACAATCATCTCACATATGAAACCTCTTGTTTGTTGGCAGTAAGAAAAATGCAGCTCCTTCCTCGTCCTTCACTGCTCTATAATTGTCAGTGTCACAAACATGTCTACAGGATGGTGACATGAGAGGGGTCCAGCGGTGCAGAAGGCTGTCAGGATGATGGTTGGGACCCCCAGAGCCGAGCCACACCAAAGGAGACAGCGTTGTTGTGTGTATCAGCTCTGGACAAAGGCCGTAAATAAAACTGGGGTGTATGGAGTAAATGCAGGCTGTTAGCACCGCAGGTTGTTTGGACAAAAGTGTCTTGTACTAATGATATACTGTGGATTATGTTAGACACACGGCCACGTGTGCACTCTCAACTGAGTTTGCTGTGTTCAATTTTGACTAGATGAAAGTGCAAATATGTGTTTTTAATGATTGAAAGGATATGACTTTGTTTTAGGTAAGGATAGTTCAAAGGAGCCATTCAAATTGTTGTTTGCCTCTGTGAATACGATGTATGTAACTGGACTATAGGTTATGCAGAGAATTTGCATTTGTCGAGGGTAGCATGGCTAAATGACAAAATAGTTTAGTTTATTGTTTATAAAACAGGGACAATGTACAAAAACCATTAGTCTTTACAAAAGAAGAGATGGTTTGCAGCACCATGGGTTTGATCCCACCTCAACACCTTCTCCACTGTCTCCCTCTGATGTCTGCTGCTGTTGTGTCCTTAGACAAACACTTACTGTAACCCCACTTTGCCTGAAGCCTCCGGTGAAAGATCAAGGCTATGCTTACACTTACAGAGCAGCCGTCCTCCTGTGGACTGCTGGAGGATCAGTGAGGGGCTGGTGCTATGAGACTTGGGTGGCATCTCTGATTGCCACCCCCCCGACCCAGAAATGGATTAAGGGGTAGAAAATGGATGGATGAATGGGTTTGCACCAGATTTAGCTGCAGCTACTTTCTATCTGTAGTCCCTGGGCAGGTGAACAGTAAACACAGATACACACATCACAATTATTAAAGCAAACTTACCTTACACAAAAAACAATCATATATTAAATGTTTTTCCTAAAATGACATAGGCTAAAATAAATAAAAATTCTAATGCTATTAATGTTCATTGATGTTGACACGATTGACTGACAAGTGCTTTTTCAAATTAATAGTAAAATGTTTCTAATCTACAGACAATTTCAGACTGTCCGAAAGCTGGTTCCATTGTTTAATGGCCCGACATGAAAAGGCCGATTGTGCAAAAGCTGATGATCTTTTTGGGATCACAGTTTTTGTTTACAGTGGACCGAGTCGATCGAGATATTTCATCAGAGCAAAGTTTGACAACGATTTTCAGAGGAGGTGAAGCTAAATTATTTGTGATTTTGAATATGCTTCTTAGATTATTGAATGTAATTAATCTTTCAAAACTCAGCAATTTATACTTACTCAAAATATTACAGTGATGATTGCGAAACGGTTTTTTGTCCAGTGCCTTTAAAGACTGATTATAAACTGACCTGAGGGGTTTGAGCGGGGTCTCATTGGCCTGAGACCAGCAGGATAAACAGTATGTAATGTGAGTAAGAATCATGGCATTGAAATAGGTGAACGCGGCATTAACTGTCAGACTTCCTCATATGTCTTAAAGATGATACATTATATTTTATTGATTTACTTACATATTTGATATGCTTTTTAAATGACAAGGTATTGTCCAAGTAGACGCCCAAGTATTTTGTCTCTGTAACAATTTTTAGAGCCACTCCATTGACTTAGATGTTAGGCATCTTTTTGGTATTGTTTGTTTTGTGAAAAAACATGCCAAATGTTTTATTTGTGTTTAAAGATAGGCAAGAGGATTTGAACCAATTCTCAATTTTGTCCATCGCAAGAGACAACTTTGAGGCCACTAGCTGCATATCCCTGCCATGTGTGTAGAGTGCAGCGTCATCTGCGAAAAAATAACAACTGAGCATGCGCGCAGCTACGAGCATCAGCGCTGATGATTGACAGCCCTTGGCATCACTTGATTGGTTGAAGTGGACGGTTTGAATTAATCTTGTGAAAAACTAAACATTGGGATTTTCTCAGAATCCCATCGGTTTGAATGGAAGCAGTCAAAATGATGGCTTTGGGAGTTAAGATAAGATAAGATAGACTTTATTGATCTCACACAGGCGACATTTACAACACAGGAGACATTTACAGTTTTGGAACTCTGGGAGTCCTAGTGTTAAATGAGCTTACTTACATGAAGGCCTCAGTAATGAATTGAATTACCACTTTGATGACTCTACACCTGTAAGATGTCAATGTTGAACTAATCCAATCACTTGTTGTCTGCAGGCATTTGGAGGACGTGGTGTTCGAGTGCGGCTGTGGCATCCGCTGGCTGCAACTATGGCAACAGCAAGGGGAGGCGGGGCTGGGCAGTCAGGACCTGTACTGTGAAGATGACTATGGGAAAATGTTTCTACAGGACATGAACATCAGCAACTGTGGTTTGTACACAGAGCCTTAGGACACGTTCCACTCGTCATAATACAGTGAGAACTTAAAAACCTTTTTTCTCTGTCTTTTTACTGTTCTGTTTATATTGATTTTTTTGTCATCTGTTAATTATAAAAGGTCACACATTTTTTCCCTTGCTGTGCTATGCTTGGATAAACATAGTTTCACAATTAATGGATTTCAGCCTAAAATATTCAAGATTATAGTTTTTTAAACAGATTTGAATTTTTGGATTTAGATTTTTTTCTTTAATCCATCAACACAATAACAAGTACAAGGTTTGAAAACTGGTTAGATGAAACAAATGATTATTTCAATCCAAACCAAACACTCTCTGACCCTACTCACTCTCTTAGAGTAATCACTCTCTTTTTTAACCATATACAGTATTTCTTCAGAACTTATTTTTTAAACAGTTTATAAAGAAAGTTGAATCAAGTTTGAGCCTGTTTTAAATTTGTCTGATAAATCATTCCAAAGAGTAGACACACATTGATTATAGAGTCGTTCTAAATTTAGGCACTTGCTCTTTTTTTTGCTTTGGCTAATGGTGAGAATTTCTATCATGGAATATGTTTTGTAGGGGAGTTTTAAGATGTCCTGAACATTATTTGAGCATGTAGTCCTAAAACTATGAACAGTTGAAAAGAATGGTGTCTATAGTCAACTTGTTATGGTTTTTTGGAGGGTGATTAAAGGCTTTAATTAAGATTTGTAACAGCTTCCCTTAAACTTCAACGCAATAATTAAGATATGACATTATAAATGAACAATACAATAAAAGAAGAGCAAGAACAATACAATAAAAGAACACATTTTCTCAGTGCTTTGTGCTGGATCTTATCTTTTGCATCATTCCAACACACTTAGCATTCTTTTCTCAGGTAACGTTACGGTTTGTTCATTTCTTAGTTTATACCATAACTCAAAATGTTATTACAGGATTTTGACAAAATATTTAGGAAAAATCTGAGATGACACAATTCACATCTCCAGATCTAGGTTTTTGGTTTAAGGCCTGGAGGAGATTGGTGCTCTACAAGTTTTATGATGACATTTTCATGCTGAAATGTATGTTTAGTGTATACATTTGTATACAGTTTATAAAGTGATTTTTTTGCAAATGAAAGAACACTTGACATTTGTGGACCTTGTCTTTTGTTGTGTGATTGTGAGCACTGCGTGTAAAATATGAGCTATATTCGTTACATTACGTCTTCTTGTTTATTCCTCTCCACTCCACTGAATGTCAAATACAAATCTTTTTTTACTGCTTGCAGCCTGTTTGGAAATGTCCTGAAGTTTATATTTGACCTCCTCTCCTCCACAGAGCTGCCCGACATCAGCGTGAGTCACAGTAACCTTACAGTGGTGGAGGGGGGCCGGATCATCGTCACCTGTAATGGGACTGGGTCTCCATTACCTGAGGTGGACTGGCCTGTCGAAGGACTTCACTCGATCAACTATCAACCAGAGGTACTTGTCCACCGCCTGCAGCTCTGTGCCTACATCATACATGATATATTCATGTTGATGTTTGCATCCAACATCTCAAACTAGTCTGCAAATCAAAGTGCTATCCTGCGTTATAATAAATGTTAGAAATGTGTTGTTAATGAATGTGTGCTATTTCTCTTTGAAGCCCGCGTTTTATGAAAACACTCACTCCATCAACATCACTTTGGCTGATATTAGTCGAGACGACAACAACTACGTATTAACGTGCATCGCCACCAACATCGTGGGAATGACCAACGCCTCAGTCCTCCTCACTGTGCACTGTGAGTAAACAACATCAACATTCATTACTCATTATTTGTGTTTATAACAACAGTAAGGCTTTTATTTGTTTTTCATACGTTAAGGCCTAAGATACAGATGTGCACATAAATGTCTCAAAAACAATAATCAAATCCCTAATAGAATATGAATATTCCGTAATGCTTACATTTGGAACCCCTAGATGGACATTAAGTAATTTTCCCAGCACAAATGACAAGCAGAGTCCATGATAAGTTGCAGACCTAAAGCATCTGTTTTCTGACAGAACACCAAACACACTGCAGCATGACTCATCTGACCCCAGGCCTGAATAAAAGATACTATTTTTACATGAAAAGTGGCATGTTGGCACAGGTTAGCGCTCCCCCATAACAAACGACCATCACTTCTTTATTTGTAAATTTCATCTTCCTTTAATACCCGTGCTACTGTTTGTATTCCACACATTCTTTCGTTGAAAACTTGAACGATCTACTGTATTGGCTGTTACAGCTGTATAGATACAGATGGATAGGCACAGGTTCTAGTACAGGTGCTAGTTCAGGTTTTGAGAACAATGTTGTGTTTTGATTTTGCCAATGCCTTTCATGGTCTGTGCATTCATCACGTTCCTAATGAAGATGAGCATCTTTGCTTGGGAGACATAAACATGGTGCTATTGGGTTAGTGAGCGTGACGCCTGGGCTTTTAGACAAAGTTGATGTATGTGTGTTGTAAAAATGCCGTTAAATGAGTGACCCATTTAATGAGGCGTGTTGTAGTATTTACAGATTATCATAAAACAAGGTGATGTGTTTGAGCAGATGCTGCAGTGCTATTAAACACGTCTGGAATGGGCATGCGAAGAGGAGTGCTTCATGTTATATTAATGTATACATTAGTGTTATCTTCTAAGATAAATAAACTGTAATGCTCCCAAAAAGAAAAAAATCCTCTGCCTTGTCATTTGAGCTTCCACAGGACAGTGGATGAACTCTAGTATCACCTCTTATTTCTCCCAGTCCGAGCAGTGTGTCCTGCGTGTCTACAGAGTGTCTAAGCCACAGTAACACGAGGACCCTGTAACAGCAGGACACTGTTTACAAACACACAATCTACAAAAGGGAAACACGAGAGCCACAGCCACACATGGACACACAACAGATCAATGTGGAGCTGCTCTGATCAGAACGGCACATTAATCAGGGACAATCAACAGCAACATTTCACAACATTAAGTGTGTTGAATGTATTGTGAGTACAAAATACACACACACAAAGTAAATATACAGATGAAACTCTAAACATGAGAGTATCGTCCAAAAGTTCATTTATTTCTGTAAATCAAGTTAGACTTATTACATGCTTTATTGTTGATGATTATGGCTTACAGCCCATTTTCAAAATATTCATATTATTTAAGAAATTTTATTTGGGATTTTAAAAGCTGTGAGCTAATTATCAACATTATAACAAATAACACTTTGCGTGTAATTTGTTCTATATTAATTGCACTTTGTAAGTTGTTACAGAAAATATTGAGTTGAGAATGTTAATGTCATGAGGTGAAGTGATCGAAGGACACAACATTCAGGAATACAAAAAATTATGATTTCATGAACATGAAAGTCAAGTGGAGGAACGTAACAAGGTAAAAATAAATTCTAATTTCTAAATCCAACAAAACACGCAAACCAAGAAACCGACAGACCAGGACAAACAAAGACAATGGACCAGCAACAAATAGGAATGAACATATAGTACATGTAGTCACAGAGAGACAGGTGGAACACATCAGGACGGGGGAACTGGACAAGAACTCAAAGTAAAACAAAAACCACAGAGAACTAAAGTCAAAATAAAACCGTGCACAAAATAAAATCCACGGCATGACAATTAAATATTACGGAAAAACTTATTATGAGCAATTTAACTTTTTGTAAACAGTCGATGAAACTAACTTGTGTTAAAAATCTCTCATTCTCGTCTGTTGCAGTCCCTCCGACCATAATGAGGCTGCGAGAGCCCGAGCGTCGCCATGACACCTGCATCGAGTTCACCGTGCGAGGCTCCCCCACCCCGTCTCTGCGCTGGTTCTACAACGGAGAGGTCTATTCTCGAACTCACTGACAACTTTTCATCTTGGACTGCCCCAGGGCCTTTATTGTCCCTTGTATTATTCACAGGAGATTTCCCACTCTGAGTTTGTGCGTCCAGACATGGATTATTTCCAGGATTACATTGAGGGTTGCCTTACCTTTAAAAACCCAACTCATCGCAACAACGGGAACTACACTTTAGAAGCCATCAACTACCTGGGCGTGGCCAACAGCACCGTGTACGGCCATTTCCTCGGACAGCCTTTCGATGGTGAGGGAACATGGATGAGAATGTACATTATTAGCACAAAAACGTAAGACAACACCCTTGGATTAAAAGCTACTAATGACAATGTAGATACAACTGGGTGGCATGGTGGTGCAGTGGTTAGGGCTTGTGCCTCACAGCAAGAAGGTCCTGGGTTCAATTCCACCTTAAGACCTTTCTGTGTGGAGTTTGCATGTTCTCCCCATGTCCTCCGGGTGCTCCAGTTTCCCCTATCACAAAAAATAAGTACAAGAGGTCTGGCATGTGCCTTCTGTATGGCGACCTGCTCCCATCTCTGTGTGGAGTGAGAGACAAATGCCCTCAACAATTATATAAAGCTAGCTACTTAGTATTTTGCACTTGTGGTGGGGACTTTTGCTGTAAGGTGTCCACTGTGTCTTTGTGGCTTTATATTACTGCTTTCATTGCAGCATTCAATTCTTTTGGTTTTTTGTTAAATTACTTGTATATGCCTTACTGAGTAACATTCCAGGCAAAAGTAATAACATAAAGTATTCATAAGCAGGTGAAGGTAGACAATTCACCTAAAACATGCATCGTTTGAATGAAAGCACTCATTGTTTCTTTTCTAAAATATATGAAATTGAAAATGTAATTTAAATAATATCATGCTTAATTGGCAAACTTGGTTACATAAATACAATTTCCTACTTAAAATTAGAAATGGGAGTTCACTGTAATCATGTGATGAGTGAGTTGACACCATGGTTTAATGTGTGTAAATTAATTCCGAGGTGTAAATAAAAGTTTTATTTTTGGAATCTCGCATGCACACCTCGTTCTCACTGCTGCATTGAGGTTTAACAGTGTAACTGAACCATCTGCTTTTGTCTGCTTTCTTTCACAGAATCTGAGCCTGAGGATTATGACTATCGTAAGTGCCTCTTGTCTTTAAATAGTATAAGTTATAAAAATAAAATAGTTTAATAATGTCCCAATTTAACTGCCTCTACTTTCAGTTACTCCCACTCCAGAGACCCATAAACCAGATGAAAGGTTTGGTGTAAGTGGATTTTGTCTTATAGTTTCAAATGTTGAAAGTGATGTCAGTAATTTCATTTTAATAAGGATGTACATTTATGATCGCGGGGCACTGTACTATTATGTACAGTAAGTATTTTATTTAATACTTTATTTAAAATACAGTAGCCATAATTTTAATCCTTGAGGCTCCTCGTCCTCGGTTATCTATTCTCCTCCTGGAAATCTTAGTGGTTGAAGTGATGCCAAGGCGAGAGAATATTTTAAGTATAGTATTAATGAGAAATACTTAATGTACATATTATCCCAATTTCAGAAATGTACATTATTTAAAAAAAATATGAAACAATTGCTGAGATCACCTTCAAGAACAAAGTGTTTTAAGGCACTGTTGACTTGTCATGATCAAAGCACTCTGGTAAACCCGACCTATTTTGACAATAACTATTCTTCCAATCCCTACTAGTATTTATTGAAGTCGAAATATTGTGTCATAGTGTCGTAAAATTAGGATCTAAATACATACGTTGGCTGTATTGCTATAGAAGAGTAGCGCCTTATACAGTAGTCCGGCGAGTTCTGTACTTTCACAGAAGAGTTTAAACACAAGAATCTTCTGTTTAATCCGTGTGTTCTGCTCTGCGTTGAATCTATCGCTGGACTCCCCAGACACCTCTGAGCCTCAGAGTCTGCTACAAATGTAATTGAGTTCATCTTTTTGCAGTAATTGACTGAGATAAGTGTAGGCGACTTTTTGTGGATATTTCTGTCATTGCGTCATTGAGTATAATTGCATATGAGTTTGCCAAAAGATTCGTCCAGTATGATTCTTTTGTACACTTTAGAGCCATTTTTGTCCTTGTGCTCAAAGCCCCAGACACAGAAAATAAACAGGAGTTATAAAATACAATAAAAGATCACATTCAGCAGCAGAGTTTGATGCCTCTTCTCTTTCCTCACAGGTCTCCATTGCAGTCGGCCTGGCATGCTTCGCCTGTGTGATGCTTGTGATTCTCTTCCTGCTCATCAACAAATATGGACGCCGCTCCAAGTTTGGCATGAAAGGTCTGGCTCATTTTGAAGTCTTTTCCAGTCTTATTCAATATTGCCGTAGTTTATGGTTTCACGATACAAAAGGCTAATGATGATTTAAGGTGCGAAATATCAAACTGTATACAGATCCTAAGTCATCAAAGCTCTTTAATGGAACCATCTCCCAGCTAGTATTGGCCACTTACAGTATGTATTTGGAATTATTGCTTTTATTATGCTTTTATTATGGTTTTCAATTCAATTCAACGTATGTAGCCCTAACTGGAGGCATTGGAGGACACAAAATTATCAACCCGCCAACAACACATAGAGAATAAAACAATTTGAACGCAGGAAATATAATAATAAGATAAACACATAGGAGTCATTGGTGTCCATATATGCTAATACTGTAATATTAATGTAGGTTAGCTAATCCACCAAATCTGGCTTGATTATGAAACACTTGATTATGAAGCTAGTTAGTTCATTTTTAACTGCTAAATCAAAAATCTTCTTTTGTATGGACTAGTTGAGTAGAGTTGTATTGCAGCTGGTATTATGTTAAAATGCATGAGCAAAACCAACAAAGAACATTACATTACTCAATCTATTTTTCTGGCACAGACCCAGTTGCACCCAAATGATACTAAATCCCTATAATGCTGAGTGTTTTTTGTCGTTGTCACATAAGTATATTCTCAACACAGACTGCCTCAGGGCCACTCCAAGACTCTCATATCTCCATCTGTGGAGCGGCTCCTTCTGTTCATTTAGCCTTGCTCAGTGCCACAGGCCGCACACATGATGAGTGTTCTTATGGAGGAGCGACTGTCCAAATGGATGCTTTCTGAATGAGGACGAGACGCGAGATGACTGATGATCCTATCGCACGCCATTTGTCCCTTTTCTGCTCTGGTAGAAATAACGTGTGTCTGTGTTCACTGGAATATTGTCATCTTTATCTGGGAGTCATCAAATTTTAGCATAAGGCAGGACACATTGAGAGATAGCTATTACTAGAGCTAAAAAATATAGCAAAGGCGTATACAGATCTAGACAAGGCAAGGCAAGTTTATTTGTGTAGCACAATTCATACACAAGGAAATTCAAAGTGCTGAACAAAACTAGATAGAAACAATCAGACAGGGCATTAAAATCATAAATAATCACAGTACATAAAAAAGGAAAAATATGAAACCCTTCAGTTATATGCATAGCTAAACAAAATGGTTTTTAACAGAACTGTTTTTAACCTGGATTCAAACGTTGTCAGAGAAGAGGCCGTTCTCCCCTTTTCAGTTAGATTGTTCCATATTTTAGCTGCTACCTCCCCATGGTTAGGTCTGACTCTGGGCACCAGCAGGAGGCCAGTCCCTGTGCTTGGTTCATATGGGACATGTCACTCATACACTCTATATCAGAGGGCCAAAAAACAAATTTGCTACAAGCCGAGGGCCAGACTAGTTCAATGTTTATTAAATTGTTTATTATTAAAATGATTGCATATAAGCTATTGAACCAAGACCTAACACAGTGTACCGTATTTTAAATATTGATTGAATGATTCATCCAATATTTTTGTACGGCTCTCTCTGTAATTTCAAGTGAAAACATTTTTCAACAGGCTCACAAACAAAAACAAACTTCCTTCATAGAGAAAACACATGTCCTGAATATTAAATTAATAATCCAATATTTTCTTATGGCTCTGTGCGGGCCGGTTCTAATACTAGTCAAACATCATCATGGGGGTCAAGATAATTTATCACCCGGCCCCTGGGCCTTGACTTTGACACCCATGTCCTATACTGTACTATCGTGCCTTGAAACTCCATATACATTTTCTTTGTCATCAGCAAACATTTTGAACACAAATCAGTTTTAATATATTCAATAATGTCAAAATACTAAAATTGCATGTTTAATGTGTAATATGAGTCTGTATTTTTGAGCTTCTTTCCTTTTTCCTTAAACTCCTGACTGCTACTCATGTCATTTCTGTCAATGCTTGGGACCAGTACAAGGAGTTCACCGTGACCCGTGTGTGCCGCTACCACTGAAAATACAATGAATAATATTCCCTCTGTGGTGGCATGCACTGGAAAAAAACTGACCTTAGAAGAAATTGAAAAAGGGTCGTAATTTGGCGGGCTGGTGAAGGATGCATGGGCGCGGAGCTAACAGCAGTAATAAGAGAGGAGCACAGCGCGTCCCAGGCTGATGCTGAGATGAGGGGTTTGGCTGCTTCTTATCCGTGCGTCTCAGATCACATCGCCATCTGCTGCGGCTTTTATTAAAATCCAAATTTCTCCTTCAGGCCTCAACACAAAGCACATGGTCAGGGCGCGACGTGACCAGCTCAGCTTCCATCGGCTCGCACATTTACACAAGACTTATACGACTGTATGACTGTAAGATTTTGAAATGTATGTAGTGAGAATTGCGAGAGTCAGTGGTACATTTGGCCTGACTATTGCATTTCCAATTTCACCCGAAATGGATAGCGGTCTTAAAGCTTAAAGCTAAGTACGTAACTTTCTTTGTTCATAAATAATAGATTTTTGTTAGAGTCATGTACAATTTAAATCTTTCGTGAACGAATTAGACCACAGCATGTCTTCAGCATGTTATTGTTTGAGAACTGGTTAGCCGAAGGCAGATCTATTGATGTGACAGACTGCAAAATATACATGGATGGGACAAGTAGTGCTAGAACCATTCTGTTTTTTAGAGCGAGGAACCAGTTATATGGACTGTATAGCATCGTTCCATTTATTTTGTGTTTTGGAGAGTCAGAACCATTAACTTGAAGTTCCAGTCATTTGTCTTACATAATCATAATTTTTCATTCTTAAGCTTCACTTATACTTTATCTGGATGCAACAATTCATAGCCATTATATTATAAATTCCCACACTGACCATATGTAGGCACAGGCTGTCCATGTGTCTCAGACAGACTGTCAGATCAATATTTCAATAAACTGTCTTGTGGTTACATCACTTTTACTAGGGTGAAATATGTAAATGTGATTCAGCCAGCTTTCTTTGCCCTGTAGCACTGCACAACTCACTGACTCAAACTGTCTCTTGTTGTCCCGACAGCTTCAAATATACAGAGCACGGCCAAGTGAATAGCTTATATTTAGCACTTGTTTTCTGTCGTCTTGATCAAACTCATCATGACTCACGTAAAATGAGTTGGAGCTGCTGTCATTCACTGCAGTAAGTGTCAGGGAGGAATGACGGTGAACAGAAGCAGAGATTCTTGTTGAATTCCATTTTCTACATATTTTCCTCATAGCACGCTCGCCTTTGAAATCAGCTTGTTCTCTTCCCTTGCCACTTTTTGGTTTTGTGAATTTCTTAGAAGGGCTGAAACCAAAAATGTAATATTTTTCTAGACATCATATAACCATTGTGAAAGTACAGAGATCTCAATGGGAGGGGCTAATGGAACTGATACCACTGAGGCACGGGGAGTAACAAAAGGTGAAGTAATTATAAACCATCAATTAGCATTAGTGCAATCTCTCCACTCGGGATGAATGACATGCTATCAATTCTCTGTGTTAGCCCCAGAGGACGTGTGTTTATTTTTGTATAGACTTAGTGGGAACTCATTTGTGCTTGACTTGAACCTAAACCTCTGGTGACTCTCTGGGGTAATTTTGTTAGTGTCAGTTTAGTTTTTAAACTAAAAACTTGACATGGATTGTATGATCATCAAGTAGCACATGAATTTAGTTTATTATTATTTTTTTAATCTTATTTTGAGCATCAGCAACCGGAGATGGGTCTCAAGCATAGACTGTGAATATTGTCCCCAGGATCTATATAGGCATTAGAAGGATGGGTCAAATACAGAGAACAATACCTGAAATACCTACATGTGAAAGCCAGTAGGAGGGACTATAAAGTAGTCTATACCTTAACCTTGTAGTGACCCAGCAACATGAATATAAAATATTAGGGGCCACCTACGGCACTGCAACTTAAATTTGCATGGGTTGTAAGGACATTTTCCATATTGACCTGAATGGAATTTAAAACGGCTTGTCCTCAGCTGACAGGGAACCTACAGCTTTCAGCTTGGATTTTAGTAACATTTGTCATCCTGTATTTCAGGAATTTCTGAAATCCATCCATTTTCTATTAACACACTTTAGTGCAACAAACTAGGCTCACTGAACAGGTTGACTGGTGGACTCATACATTCAGGTGGACTGCTTAGTGTTGATGCTGCCACCCAGCCAGATTAATGTCCCTAATAAACTGTGAGTGTACGACTGTGGCCGCGCATTGGCCACTAAAGAGAATGGAGTGGGTGGTCGAGCAGTGAACTTACTGCATAAATCTTGTCAACTTTTTTTTTTCCGTATGTTGTACAAGTGGATTCTGTAGAGGGGACATAACATTAGGCTGTTCCAGCTCCAGTTGTTATGGCCAATACGCTTCATAACGCAACATAACATAGGATTTAGACATATGTTGTTTCAATAAACATAACCATTCATCTACAATGCTTTTCGAAACTATCATTATAATAATGTACATATCAGTTTTATATAGCGCTATTTGGACATTTAAAGTCGCTTCCACACACAGTGGTGATAAACAAGCTGCCCTGGGGCACAGAGGCAACCAGTGTGTGCTCTGGTCCCCTCCGAACACCAACAACCATTCACTCACACATCAGGCTCCTTCTAGGTAATGTGAGTGTTCTCCTTCTGCCTCTCACTGGCCTGGATCCCACCAATGCCACCATGTGTCATGGGGAAGCTGGCCCGAGTGTCAAAATGAGATGGCAGAACTCATATCAAAAGTTATCAAAAGATTTATTTTGGCCAAAGAAACCAACAGTCTTGTCCCTTGGGTGTGTCTCCCAGGTCACCTGGAAACTTTTAACCTTGTGACTCCACCCACATGGGTTGGCCCACAATACAAAATGGCTGTCTAAGACACGCCCTCTTCAACAGGTACAAAATACATTGACTAAAAGTGGCATTAAACGGGACAAAGTAATCTGCTTTGTCACAGAAGTGTCTTGCCTAAGGAAACAACAACACTGTCGTACCCGGTGTTCCTAGAGGTCTCCCATCCTAGTACTATCCAGGACCATCCCTGCTTGGCTTAGTCTGACAAGATCTGGCTTCCACAAGCAGGCAGCTCCACAAAAAATATGATTTCCACTTTGCACACATTCATATTTGTGCTGGTGTTGTTTAATGCGTATGACCTTTTTGGACATTTCAGACATATTGGACGTCTTGCAGAAAGCAATCAATCAATAGGATAACCTTCCTGGTCCTTTTTAAATCAACCATCGCTGCGGTTGATGTTTAAACCTAAATTATCTTTGAAGCTTCATCTTCGCAACATCTGCCGCCTGTCAAGTCGCTGTATCCTCCGTCTCTCTGTCTGACCGTCTCGCTGCGACCTATGACTCCTGCACTATACGAAAACTGTCCACTTCACCGATTCTCATTTATTTTTCATTTCAACACTCTTCTCTGGTTTGTGGTCCGCTTTGTCCCTCTATGACTGGTCCATCAATTACCTTGTGTCATTTCCTCACACGCTGGGCTTCATTTTTAACATACATTTGTTCGGTAAATGACAGTGGGCACCAGTGTAAATGTGGATGTCACTCAAAACTGGTCTTATGATGTGACCTTCTATAAGATTCACTATTGACATTTTACACACTGATTTAAGTTTTTTGTGAATAAATATTGAAAAAAAATATATTAAGATGTGTGGCTTGTGTCATAAAATAATCCCCAAGTCGTTCACACCCATTGAGCTGTGAAGCTGCATTATGACAAGATCATTCTCTCACGTCCTCACATTCAGTAAAAAAAACATCACTACAATGTGTGAACTGCAACATGCTAATTAGAGGGATGAATAAAACCAATTAGCCACACATTTTGACTTACCATTATCATTGAATAGATTAGAGAAAAAAAATCCTCCCTTCATTTCTCGCCCTCTCCAGGTGGGTTAAAGGGCAAAGCTCTTGATTTACAAACTGTATTCCCACCCCTCAAATATGGGTATGAACTTTGGGTTATAACAGAAAGGACGAGGTTGTGGATATAAGCGGTTGAGGTGGTTCGGGTGTCTGTTCTGGATGTCTCCTGGAGGTGTTCTGTACGGTACCCACTTGGGCGAGGCCCCGGGAGAGACCCAGGACATATTGAAGGGACTCTCAGCTGGCCTGGGAACGCCTCAAGATTCACCCCGGATGAGCTAGAGGAAGTGTGTGTAGATCTTCTTCAGCAACTCTGCAATGGATAAAGCGAAAAGAAAATACATAGTTGGGTCTTGCATTATTGTATTTTTTGGTATTTTTCTTGTGTGATTTTGAGTTTTATGGACTCTTTGTTTGTCTGAATTTATATTAAATCTCTTCACATGTATTTCAGGTCCTGTTGCAGTTATAAGTGGGGAGGAAGACTCAGCCAGTCCTCTTCATCACGTCAACCACGGCATCATGAGTCCCTGCACACTGGACCCCACCTCTGACGCAGTGGTGATCGGAATGACCAGGATCCCGGTCATCGAAAACCCTCAGTACTTCAGACACGGACACAACTGCAGCAAACCAGCCACATGTGAGTATCCAGCCCAGTTCAGCGACAAGCGACATTTCTACTGCATGCAATTTGTTCAATTCTACATACTTTGGCGAGCTACCTGGAAGGGGGTGGCGAGGTAATGGTGTCTCAAGCTACGTTTGACAGAACAAGAAAATGATCAAACCAACAGGAATCACCTTGCCCCCTCATGAATTAGCATGAGTAGAAGTTTATGGTTGGTTGGTTCCACCCCCTTTAACCTTTCTATGGCAGATATAAACTATACGTAGATGTGGGTCCCCAAGCTCATTATCTTGGCACTAATTGCAGGCCAATAGCGTAACGGTCATCTCATTCTTTTCGTTGCGTTTGGAGTGGTGAATGCGATGGTCTGTGGTGGTGTGGGGAGCACCCGTAGCAGCGCTAAACCCACTGAGCCGTGCACTTACTGCTGACAGCTACTGATTTAGAGCAAGGCAAAGTTATACAGACTTTCACAATTTCACATTAGAGGTCAAGGCAAATGCATGGACACTACTGGGTCTGCTAAAATGTCAAAATACATATAGATTGGAAAAGCTTTTTTGTTCATTTTTTAGACTGCTGTGAACATTGTGTGGCCTGTTTAAGAAAGAAAGAGGTTAATGTAATCACCAGGGTTTGTTTGTCTGTCTGTCAGTTTGCAACATATCTCATAACACAGTTTTATGGAATGGGATGGGGCTCTTGACGGAGGTCTTTGCTTCTCGTGTACTTTTATAGTTTTATATATTCTCTCTTTATTTTGTTCTTAATGGTGATATGTCATAGAATATTAGATGTCAAAATGATGTTGCTATTGTAGTGGAATTATTGTCTGTAATGATAACTTTGAAGTATGATATGTTGCGATAAACAATAATAATAAACATTAATATTGAAATGGTCCAAATACCTAAAAAGCATAATTTAATCTAAATCGACCAGCATCAGTAGTAGAAGTGACTGAAACAAATCTCTAAAAGGGAGAAGAATAAAACGTTCCATTATGGTGAAGAAAATGTGCACATATCAATGAATATTGATAAATGCTTCTATTTAAGCCTCCTTTTTACGAGCTACAATGACTCTGACTAGAACATATTTTGTGAAAAATGTTGGAAGGGGTGCACTTCACTAAACCAGGACAGACAACTGTACGCACATATTTGTCTACAAAACATGTTTTGGCATGAAAACCTTCCTCAGAGCGATTGTTTTGTATCTTAGTATGTATGCCTGGTTAGTTTTGATTCACAAACATTGCTTTGGGGCTGTTTCTTTTCAGATGTGCAGCATATTAAACGACGGGACATCATTTTAAAGAGGGAACTGGGAGAAGGAGCATTTGGCAAAGTGTTCCTGGCAGAGTGTTACAACCTGAGCCCCACAAAAGATAAGATGCTCGTGGCAGTCAAGGTAGGCCAAATACATTTTCTGCTGGTTCAAACATACAAGCTATCAACCTACTTAAAATGTAAAATGTATTACATTAAGTTCAAATAAAGTAAAAATAAATATTTATATTGTAAATGAAAATATATAGAATGTAACTTGGTTAATACTGCAGGATGTGACTAATGAACGGTAAAACACACTCACAAGTCACATCTCAACAAATTCTCCTTGAGATACTCCTTGAATACTTGGCACAAACTTTGCCTTAAACAAAGAGAAACCTACGGCTTGTACAATTGTGACTCGGTTGAGACGACTTCCTTATGGTCTGGGATTGCAGGGTCACTCAGTTTTGGGAGAAGGTGGCCGGTGGTCTGTCCCTCCCCTTGTCATGACCGCTCTCCCCTGGGCCTTCTTCTGAACAACTTTTCTGATTTAAGAGCGGAACAATGGGTTCTCTTGGCAGGGCTGGAGGCTCCCTTACTCAATGTCTTGCAGACAGTGGATTATGACATTTATTAAAGTTTAATTACTTTTTCTAAACTGTCCACATATGCATGCACAATGCAGAGGAGAATACCATCAACATTTAGTGTTGGACACACAATAGTTTTTGAATTTTGTTTTTGTTGACTGCCACTGAATGGCAGATTAAGATTAAGAGATCCTTCTCACTTCATCTCACAGTGGGGAATTTTTTTGCCTCACCAGTTACAGATGATATATATATGTTTAATTTAATGTTTTTTGTGGTCCTGGACCAATGTGTGTTATAGGGCTGTGCAATATAATACTGTTCGCAGTAATGCCAGTATTAGTGTGTGCAGTTTTGAATTAAATTCCTAGTGCTAATTATAAATCATCATTGTGATATTTACTTCTTGTATTGTTGTTTTTTTGTCAATAAATTGATGGCATAAAGTTTTCTGACATATTATCCTAAAAGCCTTAAATATGCAATACAAAACCATATGATACTCGGGAATAAAATTATAATTAGTCACCACAGTGAAAACAAAGGAATAACTCTGTTTAAATACAAATCCCTGAAGACATTAAATGAAAGCAATAAGAGAAGTAAGCGACCTGGAATTAATGTGATGTTTCCATGACGACACTGATGTTATAAAGCTATTATCAGGACTGAGAGCAATTAAAACCATTACTGTCATTCATGAGACAAGAATGGATCAGTTGAACGTCTGACACCATTGATATTATATATGAAATGAAACAGATATAAATAATGAACCATGGAAGCAGTAAATAATATGGCATTTTCTAATATGATGGTTGTGCGAAAAATGCTCAAACTACAGTGTGTAGTAAGTTTCTCTTTGATCACAGACTTTAAAGGACCCAACTCTTGCTGCGAGGAAAGACTTCCAACGGGAGGCAGAACTGCTGACGAACCTGCAGCACGAGCACATAGTGAAGTTCTATGGGGTTTGTGTGGACGGGGATCCTCTCATCATGGTCTTTGAGTACATGAAGCACGGAGACCTGAACAAGTTTCTCAGGTAAGTCAATGTGCTGTGGTGTTCTTTAAACGTGTATAAAACATAGGTGAAAAATCAGCTATGGTCAAAACACTCACACATTCATAACATCTATAGTTTGTTCATTACTCTCTGAAAAACATGTTTGAGCAAAGGGACTAATTCATAAGCCAAAAGCAAGCAAAAGTTCTTTACCAACAGTTGTCAAGACCAGAATGTAGTCTCTGACACAGGAGAGAAAGCAAAGTAACCCTACATTTGAATATTTAGCATGTTTAGCAGGATGTTGATATGGTTAATTCGACAGGCTGATGATACCAGAGTTTGAAGAGGATTCTCAAAATCCAGAGATCAGGACACTGTTATTTTACTTGCAGTGTAGACAGTAAAAATCATTGGTAGTTTGCATTGGAATCCTCTGTGACCATGGTATCACACACTATATAATAGGTTTTTTATAGATATTATGATATTTATTATTTATTGTGAACCTGGTCTGTGAAAGGTGCTGTATAAAAATCCATACTTACTTTTTTGATATAATAGAATTGTTCACATTTTGGTTTACTGGGGTGGAAAACAAGGGATTTGAGGTTTCCAAATATAGAGGCCCACTCTTTCTTCATAAATTCAACATTGGCCACTTTTCAGAAGGTGAAATCTTGTACTTTTCGTTGGAACTAATGTTTGGCTGTTTTGGAAGAGAAGGGATTTTCTTTGAATTCCAACATTCAATGAAAGATGGATGAACTTTTCTGTGAGTGGATGATTTATTTAAACTATAGTATGTCACCTGCAACTTCTTTACTGGCTTCTGTACTTAAATGATGAATAATAGAGAGCACGTTCAAAACGTGAGAGGGCTGCATAGGAAATGACAAATATGGGCCATTTGGCTCTCAGCAGTGTGGCTGTGTCCCGGTGGTAAGGCTGCAGTGCACTCAGAGTGATGGATGAGGCTGTCTGGGTGACTGACAGTCTGACAAAGGTTAGATCAGCAAACACACAAACTGCCACTTGAAAACAAGTCCTGCTTAACATTAACATAGGAGAGGAAGCATAAAAGCATACTAATATTACAGTAGGCCGTGCCAAAAAAGATTGCAATGCCATTTTAGCCATGGTCAATGTCAGTGACCCACACAAGCATTTCATCCACAAGCAGGAAGTCAGTAGACAGTAGTAAAAAATATTCATACCCCATAAACCTTTTCGCATTTTGTCTCTTTACTACCACAAATATAAAGATTTTCTATTTGGATTTTAATTAGATTTTTTTGTTGAAGACAGTCAAAAGCAAAATAGGGATCAAGATGTTTACGGCAGATCACTGATAACGATCTGAGACAAGATCTGTTAAGATACAATGTAATGTTTTAAAGAAAACATTTCCATAAGTTAGAATGGCCCAGTCAAAGTCCAGACCTAAATCCAATGGAGAATCTGTGACAATATCGAAAAACTGCTTGTAACAAACGTTTTCCTAATCTGTCAGCAGTTCCACATCGTACTAACACATGGAGGCTTTTTCAAACCACACTTTTCAGGGTTAGCATTATCATTTTGTTTTCACTTCACTGTCACTGTTGTATTAGTATTTCACACACAAAATGTTTGTGTAGTAAGACATTTGAACATTATTGTGTGGTATGAATACTTTTTCAAAGCACTGAATTAAAACTGCAAGAGGTTGAAGAGTTCTGGAGAAATAACTGAGTCAGGGGGCGACAGGCAGCTTGTTTCTTTTTTCTCAATTTTATTTAGCTAATGTTAGTGCCTTTATTGCTCCTACTGTGCGCTGCTTAGTCTGAACCCACAAACAATGGATAATGGATAAGCACACACGGTAAATACTTAAACTGCCCATTGGACTGGTAAACAAATGAGCTGCTTTACGGTTGCTTTGATGAGATGTTATTTTTCCCCATGATGCTTTGCCCCACGAAATAGAACATTGATGCTTTGTTTGATGCCAGGATGTCAGCCAGTGCCTGTGTGTGAGTTCCACTGAGTCGCCCTGTGCCTCGGATGCTAATTTCAGCACTCTAATTGTGCTTCCATTAAAATGCTGCCATCAATTCATCCAGGACACGCTGCTAATTTAACTCCTGTCCACTGCCCTCCAAAAACCACCTCCATTACACAACTCTTCACCGGCGCCACTTCTTCCTAGAAAGAGAGCGAGGCTTAACACTCACTGAAGCTGAAAAGACACACTTTAGGCCCCATTCTGCTGGACTTCATGACCTCATATCTGCAGGCTAGTGTAGTAAGAAACTGTACAGGAATTCTAGATTTTTTGTGTTTGTGTGTGTGTTCATGCGTGTGTTTTTGCTAACTATATTGATTAGTTGTGAATGTTGAAATAGATTATAAACAAATCACAATCCAAAGAGGAGCGTTTATTTTCTCGCTCAGAACTGTCCTTGGTTTCCCATATTGCAAGAATTTTGATAAACATAAAATATAGATAAATAAATAAACACGCATATCAATCAAAAATACAGTTTGGTCAGCAGTCTTGTGAGGTACACCCAATTTGAAGGTAATGGACTAAAACATGCAGACCAATGGAATCAGAAAGAGCATGTCAGGCTACATTACGTGTGTGTTTTTCCTGAATCTGTGCTTCTCTGCAGAGCTCACGGGCCGGACGCCTTGATCCTTGTGGACGGGCAGCCGCTGCAGACCAATGGGGAGCTGGGCATATCCCAGATGCTGCACATCGCAAGTCAGATCGCCGCGGGGATGATCTACCTGGCATCACAGCACTTTGTCCACCGAGACCTGGCCACCAGGAACTGTTTGGTGGGCAATGGCCTCCTGGTGAAGATAGGGGACTTTGGCATGTCCAGAGACATATACAGCACGGACTATTACCGGGTAAGTACACAAAAGTATACTCCTCTTTAGTTTAACATTTATTTTAGAAAAATGATTCAGATTTCAGGTTTCACCTTTATTCTCTGAGGCAACTAACTGGCTGAAGGACTTTGCATTTGCTAAATAGATAAATGGTATAAGTTCTGTGGGAAACAGACATGAATAAAGTAAGAACATTGCTTGAAGGTAGTGTCTCTCTTTAGATGATACTTCTGCCTATTTGATATTCATTCAACCATTTCAGCTTCATATAAGTCGGTTCGAGCAGGTCAGAATGAGGAGGCGATTTACATGCATTTTCACTGACAGCTCTATCATCCTCCTCTGGGCCATTGTGGCTCGTTCGACACATCTCTGCTCAGCACGGTCTCGTCGTACGAGAGGCAGTGGAATAATCCAAGACAACCTGGAGTTTAGGGTCAGACCGAGTGCACACCCTGCCCTGAATCCTGATCAGTACTGAGATTCACACAACACAAAACCCAAAGAATTGTATTTTTCTAAACTAAACCGTCCTGGATTTAGCTGTAGGATACGTAATAATAGAACAGTGGATAGTACAGCCAAAAACTGTGCCCAATGTCCATGTGCAAGGATTATTGGCATCTGTACACATTATCCGTCACTCTAGCCTCCCACATGTTGTGTTTTTGGAAACTTCAGCAGTGCATTTAGAATTTCTATAGCTGTTTAATTAGCAAGGGGAAAACAATATTGGATGTGCAAACGTCTCAACATTCATAATTTGTATGATCATAAATCTATCTGAACATGGTACTGAGGGTGAGACATGGGGTTTCAGGAAGGATGGTTTGTATGAGCAGTGCACTAGAGCAGTGGTTCCCAAAGTGGGGGTCGCGGGAACCCCTGGGGGGGTCGCAAGATGATTTCCACACAAACAAAAAAAAAAGATTTTTTTTTTGAGCAAATATAAAGCCCTTAAATATTTATTTAGCATTTGATTTGATTCAAAAGGACTACTTGTTAAATTGTGTTTGGAGACTATAATATATTTTAATAACGTTAGTAATTTTGTCCCAGTCATTGCAGCGTCAATCAAAATCATCCCGTGACACAGCTCACATCATGCGCAGCGACAAAGCGTGTCCTGCTGTTGTTTGCTAAAACTAAAGGTGTTTGGAGGCTACAAATAAATAATACCTGCTTTAAAATGAAACGTGGTTAATATCCACAACAGAAAAACCCGGAGGGGGAGAAAAGTCACTTGTATCAGGGGTCAGGCTGATGGTGCGAAGAGAGGGAGGGAGGACAGAGGAGGGAGAGAGGGCAGAGGAGGGAGAGAGGGCAGCGGAGGGAGAGAGGGCAGCGGTAGAACAGCGCGTTAAAGAGGCCCGGCTTTTCGGAGTCAAAAGGTAAAGAGGTCCGCACATTAAAAGCGGGTGGCCGGTTTATGCCTTTACTGACAGTAACTTTGGAAAGAGAAGCCGCGGGGATGGGGGGGGGGGGGGTGGTCGCGGGTTAGCAGGGCATTTATGATGGGGGTCGCGGGCAAAAAACTTTGGGAACCCCTGCACTAGAGGACATTTATTTTACAGCTGCTGATAATGAGGAGACACATGTTTGACTGAATTAGTTCTGCTGCTGAAGATTTCACAGCAGGACGACGTCTCTGATGAAGAATGACTCTATGTCACCATCAAAGAGCAGAAGAGACGACAGCTTTGTACGCCTGCCCATATCTTTACCATTAGTCATGTTTGATTAAAGCAAAGATCCACGAGTGTCACTCACAAGATGGCTACCCCGAGAGATTTAATGATCTTCAACAGTGGAAAGCAAATAATGAGGTTTAACTGATTTAATTAGGTTAAACTGGAGATGCTTACATTAACGGTACAGTAATACTGCCAATTGGCTGTGGGCTGTTTTTTATGCGCCGCCTGGCATCCGCTTACTACGACTCCGACCTGGCATATATTTAGACTGGTGTTTGTGTTCCATTGATTTCAATCAACTGTGGTGTGGTTTTGCCTAAAGCCACGTAGGTTTGCAAGGGGTTAACACCTGTTAAATCACCAGGGAACTTCTCCATACCGATACAAAAGCCTGCAGAAATAGACCCTATGCTCACCCTCCAACTCGCTGTGCTCCGAGGTCAGTGGAACATTGGCCTGACCAGCCAGGTCCTTCTACATTCTGACCAATAAAGGCTGGTTCAATCACTAATGGAACTGAACTGAGAATGCAGGTCTCTGCATACATAGTGATTTAAAAGGAACATGCTTGTTTCCCAGTGATACTACCCTGTTGTATTTTCTTCTTCTGTGAATAGGTGGGAGGTCACACCATGCTGCCTATCCGATGGATGCCTCCAGAAAGCATTATGTACCGAAAGTTTACCACTGAGAGCGATGTCTGGAGCTTTGGAGTCATTCTGTGGGAGATCTTCACCTACGGCAAACAGCCGTGGTTCCAGCTGGCCAACAATGAGGTACATTCTCTCACACCTACTCTGCAATGTTCCCTCGCTTACACTGAACACTTGTTTTTGCTCTGTATACGTTCACACACACATATGTGTTCAATAGAACCTCAATAGATGTTGAGACAATCATCTCACCTCACAAGTGTGATTAGACAGGTGTGGCCTGTTGTCATGGGCAACCGAAGCTGTTCAGTTTTGCTGTATTGGGGGGTCAGAAAACCAGTATGGTTTTTGGTATGACCACTACTTATCTCTCACAGTGCAACACATCTCTGTTGCATGGAGTTGAACAGGTTGTTGATGTTGGCCTGTGGATTGTATTCCTCTTCAAAGTTGCTGGATTTTGGCAGGAAGTGGATCATGCTGTTGTCACGCACCAATCCAGAGTATACCAAACATCCTTGGAACATGGGCCAGTGCATTATCATGCTGCGACATGAGGTGATGGTTGTGGATGAATGACACAACAATGGACCTTAAGATGTTCTCACAGTTTCTCTGTGCATTCAACGAAATGCACCTGTGTTCATGCCCAATAACATATAGCTGCTCCATACCCCACTACTGCCATGGGCCATTGGATCACCAGCATAGACATCAGTGATGTCAGAGAACACCTTTCCAACATGCCAGATGCCATCCAATGAGCATTTGAGCAGTCAGGTTCGAGAGTCCTGCAAGTGGGTGGAGAGGTCCTTCCTCAAGTGGAGGAGTTCAAGTATCTCGGGGTCTTGTTCACGAGTGAGGGAAGAATGGAGCGTGAGATTGACAGGCGGATCGGTGCAGCGTGCGCAGTGATGCGGTCGCTGTATCGGACCGTTGTGGTAAAAAGGGAGCTGAGCCGAAAGGCAAAGCTCTCGATTTACAGGTCAATCTTCGTTCCCTCCCTCACCTATGGTCATGAGCTTTGGGTAATGACCGAAAGAACGAGATCGCGGATACAAGCGGTCGAAATGAGCTTCCTCCGCAGAGTGGCTGGGCGCTCCCTTAGAGATAGGGTGAGGAGCTCAGTCACACGGGAGGAGCTCGGAGTAGAGCCGCTGCTTCTCCACGTCGAGAGGAACCAGTTGAGGTGGCTCGGGCATCTGTTCCGGATGCCTCCTGGACGCCTCCCTGGGGAGGTGTTCCGGGCACGTCCCACCGGGAGGAGGCCCCGGGGAAGACCCAGGACACGCTGGAGAGACTATGTCTCTCAGCTGGCCTGGGAACGCCTTGGGGTCCCCCCGGACGAGCTGGAGGAAGTGTGTGTGGATAGGGAAGTCTGTGCGTCTCTGCTTAGACTGCTGCCCCCGCGACCCGACAACGGATAAAGCGGAAGAAAATGGATGGATGGATGGAGGTTCGAGAGCCCAATGAGGGAGACAAGCTGCAGATGAGCTTCTTTGAGATGGATTGATTTTTGTTCAGATTATGTAAACCGTTTATCATCTGTCTGGTGGCTGGACTGTCGTGACCCTGCTTGATGTGGAGGTTATGCCTAAGTGTGAAACATCTTTGGAGATGACTTTTAGATTAGAAATGAACATTCATTCAGTTTGCAAAGAAGCCAGAGTTGGCGCAACACTACGTCCATGATATTAAGATTAAGACCTCCTTTATTCGACCCACAGTGGATACATTTCAGTAGGAACGAGGAGGAGTGAACAATAAGTAATAATAATATAATAAAATCTTTAACTTTAATAAAGAATAGTATAAAATTTCTAGCTGAGCACTTTCCTATTGGGCTTGATTGAGCTAGGGGGTTAGCATTGTCCATCTGTATATACAGTCTAGGTCATGGACAGGTCTAACCAATTCTTGTCTTCAAAAAGTTTCACTCTCTCCTCATAATTTTGCAAAGTAGCAGATGTTCAATATTTTTGGATCTGTCCGTGTATATACAGCTCCTCACGTGTGGTTGTATCTTGCAGGTAATCGAGTGCATCACCACCGGCAGAGTGCTGGAGCGGCCACGCGTCTGTCCCAAAGAGGTGTACGACATGATGCTAGGCTGCTGGCAGAGAGAGCCACAACAACGCCTGAACGTCAAAGACATTCAGAAGATACTGTTCACGCTGATGAAGGCCACTCCCGTCTACCTGGATATACTGGGATAGGGATATGTTTCTAGACTCGGCTTTTGTTGAATGTTCACCGCTTTCGGACCCCACGCAAGGGCATTAAACAGGTTAATCTAAAACGGAGTCAACTTTCTCTGCTCAACTGCGGTAGAGAATAAACTGATACGAACTCAAAGAATCGGTAACAACATTGCAAGGACATGTCCACGTGGTACGGTGGTTTGGATTTCAAGCTATGACGACATGTTTTCTACCACGAGTATTTACTGGGATTGGGAAAACATGATCATATCGATCATTCGGTCTGACTCTTCTGAACACTTCTCCCCTCACCTATGCATTCACACTCGCTCACACGACTTGTCTATTCCGGATTTTTGCTTTTTCTGTTTGAAATCCAATTTGTGTAACTGCTTAACAACCACAACACTGTTTTTTTGTTTGTTGTGTTTCTGTATTTTTGTTATGACTCCTCATGACAAACCATTTCCCTTAGATAACACAAACAAAATATGTATCTATGATTTAAGAACAAAAGTCGCATTGATTCAGCTGAACATTTTATGAAACGTATTGGTTGATTTGAAATGCCATAGCCTTTGTTTTTTCACCCGTATTTTCACCTGGAAAGCCATGTTGACATAGAGCAGACCTTGATGAAGTGGCCAGCGCCTGAGTGTCTGTCTGTCGCCATAGACCTAAAAGTGCCTCCTCCTTCTTTCACTGGGAACTTCATCTATAGTCTTTTATGATAAGAGCACTTTTACTGTACATTTTGTTTACCTGCTTCAAATGTACACTAGATGTTACTTTCTGTCTTTTACAACAAATAGGAGACCAAGAAAAAAAAGAAAGAAAAATAGTAAGTAATAGTAATAGTTTTCAAATAACCCTGGAATCACAAAGAGATTTTTCTACTCTTTGCAGCTTAACCACCTAATGACGGATTAGTTACTTTCTGTTACTTTGAGTTTATAGAAGTAATGCCGTGTATATGTTACATATTTTCTATTTATTTTTTATTTGAAATCAATAAGTGAACTTCTGCCATGCTCCAAAGCCATTTAAATATTTGCTCCAGGCTTTGTGGATAAGCTAGAAACAAATACATTGATTTAGCAGGAAGTATTGACACACTGTGTGACCAACACTGTTCACAAGGACACACATGAACAAAGGATTGTTAACAAACACAGTTGTGTTGCTTTGATAAAGAATGTACATAGTGTAAATTTCTGTGTATGAAGTATGTTAACTTATTTTGAGTTAATTATGTTAGTACGTTGTTATAAAAGTATGTACAAACGATATATTTTGATAATCTTCTTTACCAATACGATGTCTCACCATGCCATTGTTGCAGCCATCTTGTGTTTAATATTTGAAGATCGATAGAATTAAGGACAAGCATACATTTTCATTTGCTTTTATATTATAGGTTAACAAACTTCTTTGTTTTTGGATGTGTGTAGTCAAGAGCACTGATGTTATGGAAATGTAACATGTACGCTATGATAGTATTATGTTTGTGTGTTGTACATGAGCTTGCAGAACATAACATATGGACAGTAAGTTGAATGTAAAGACTTTTGATAGAACTGATTTATGTTCATCACCAATAATGAGGAAACAGTTACACCTGTAACTATGGTTCTATGAATCCTGGATGACTTCAAGCTGAAAGTATGGCCTCTGCTGGTCAAGAAGGAGGAGATAGAACCACAATCACATGTGGTCAGCGTCACCAAACCCACAGTTTCCTGCCTGATCAGTATTCAACATTTTGACATCTGACAAATTAACATCAGTTGATTGTCAATAATTTACATGTTTAGCCATTAATCCCAAAAAGGGTCTAAAATTGTGTCTAAGAAATGGGAGTGAGACCAAAAATAAGTTAGTGAAAAATCTGTGGCTGGTCAGGCAAGTAAAATTCAGTAGAAACATATTTTTTCAACATTTGTGGAAAATATTGGCTTGTAAATTTACTAGTTATGGCACCAAATACTTACAAAGCCATAGTAATCTCGACTGGAGAACTTTGCCCTGCAATAAAAGTACTATTAAACTAGTACAGAAACTGGATTAATGCCATACTACTGACTGTACAGCGTTCAAATGCAATGTACCAGATGTTCCATTAATAAAGAAGCATTAGACTCTATCTTATATTATTTATCATACTTGAAGATCTTTTATTCTCATATGTTGGCTATTGCTTAGTATCTACCATGTTCACTATATTTTTCTTTCAAATATATTACTTTTTCACTTCTCTTTCCCCTCTGCATAACATATTTGCCCACTTCCATTTCTAACTATGTATCCAACTTCTTTGATAACACATATACAGTCCTTTTGAAATGTTGAGATGTGGTAAACCTTTGAGGTGGCTTTGTGTCTGAATTTGACTCATTAAAAATCTCCATCATTTAATTCCACGGCCATTATGTCTTCCTTTATCTCCTGAGTCTAATTTTTATTCAAGCTTTTGTCTTTTGTGTGATGTTATTCCCACCACCTCTCCTACTTTGGCTGGAGGATCTGTATCTATTATTGGTGGCGGTGTGGGAGACATTTGGGTCCATCACATTGTCGAAACTGAAAATGATTGCAGGATTTTAGCGTCGGGAATCAAACACAAGTCAATTCTTCATGAGTTCATAAATTAGTAAATATTTTAACAAATTAAGCTTAGGCCAGAGATATTTCATTTTGGCAAATAAATAATCATACAGAAAATGTCTGCTCCCCAAAACGCTTGGAAACATGAGGTGATTGTGTGCGTGCTGTTCACTAGACAACAGCCGCAGACAGGTGACCTCTGGGAAATGAGGATCTCAGGCAGGGCAGGTGGGCCAATTTGCTCAGAAAAGTGTGAGCTATAAGACCCAGAGCGAAAACGGCAGCGATAAACAACGGGGAAAAGAGGAGGGGAGTGAGGACAGGATTTCAACACAAATATTTTGACCGCCTGCAAAAGCTACTGGCATTATTTTGGGGCGATATGTACTAGCTCTGCGGAACAAAACAAATGAATTAAAAACATGTTAGAAACCTGTCACAATATTTAAAAGGCAGCTCAAAAATGAAGTGCTGAAGAAAAGTGTGGAGGAGTGAAGACTTCAGCAAGAGTGAGTAGTGGGAGAGAGGTGTGTGGTCAGAGAGTGTTTGGGCCTGTGCCGTGTGTGTGTGTGTGTGTGTGTGTGTGTGTGTGTCTGTGTGTGTGCGTGCTAGTGTTGTGTGGATAACTGAGCAGTAGGAGCCTTTTTCTTTTCTTTTTTTTCACAAAATATAAAATTATTTAGTCAAAACCAGGGAAAACACACACACACACACATTTGGAGACAGCTCTATCGACTGCATATCTCCAGAGCTGATGACGTAGCACACATTCCTGCTTCTCAAGTGTTTATGTGAACAGCAGAGAGAGCAGAAACAAAACACACTGGAATGTATCCGTGTGTGCATTCTGCAAAAATACAGTATTTACTGACACACATACATAGTACATGCAGTAACTTTATACACACACACACACACACGCGACAAACACTAAGTAACACATATGAACGCACATGGATTTTCTCTGCATACACCGCAAACAATGTGTCTACATCCGGTTCAGTTCTTTACTGTATCATGACAAAAAAAATAGTCAACTTTAATTTCCAAAAGAAAGTGTAGTATTGAGGATCATTCTTCAACAAAGGGGTCTTTCAAAGCAATACTGACAAGGGCTTTTCATGCTACAGGTTGAGTGATGGAGGATGCTCAATGACTGTACATATAGTCATTGTGTAGACTGCAACATGACTCAACATGACGAGTTATTTTTGACGCACTGTTGACTTGTGATGATCAAAGCACGTTGGTGAATCCAGTCTATTAACTCCATAAACTCTGTCCTGACAGTAGCCCTAATCTCAATAATCCTGTATATCCCTGCACTTCTTTGTGTCTGCTCTGTCTGCTGTTCACATAAACACACGAGAAGCAGGAATGTGTGCTACGTCATCAGCTCTGGAGATATGCAGCCGATTGAGCTGTGTCCAAATCTGTTCTTGTGCTCCAGTGGCGAGCTAACAAAATAAAAAAGGCATACGTTGACCGTGTTATAGACATATTTTAGTAAAGCAATCTAAATTAACACCAAATAGTTATGAGTGTAAGTTATTAACTAATAGTCAACTCTGGATTCAGATACAGGCCATAATGCTCTGTTGGCTCAGGTCAGTGATAGATGGAGACGTGCTGCATCATGTCTTTGACCTGGGTCATAGAACAATATGTTCAGTTCAAAAGCAGATTGTTACATATATCAGAGTTGTATCAGCGTTAGGACGCGTAAAGAGAAGCCTTGAGCAACACATATCAATGTTGACTTCATTTATGTAATATCTAGAGTAGATATGTGTTTGTTTACTCTGGTCTATTTAATGTACAGTCATTTCCTCAATCGTGGCAGTTGATTTCAGACGGCTGCCCGGTGGTATTGGTATCGGTTCTGGTATTCATTGTATTTGTGCACATTTACTAATAAATAAACTCACACTTCTGTTTGTAATTACAGCTCTGAGTTGTTTACATTATTTTACTCTCGAATTTCCACAACAACCGCATTGCTATATAGGCAGCATAGGTCTCAGAAGTTGAGAAAAGGAGCAGCTTAGAGTCCGGCAAGAAATGTACTTTTGCAATTCAATATTTTCTGTCATGGCCCACTCTTTGGACAAATGAAGGATATGCAGGAGACTGACAGAAATGGACTAAATAATAGATTAATTAATGTAAAAATGTAATTAGTACCCACCAATCTTTCACCTAAACATCTGACTCTGTTGTATCACTATTTATTAAATTGTTGTAGCAATTAAACCTTTGAACCAGACTGATAACCACTGTGCTGCACACTTGAATGAATGTTTTAATGTGACACATGCAATATGTAATGGATCTTTCTAATCAGTATTCAGATCTGGAGTCCCTATCTGTCTGTGAGTGTAATTAAGAAGGATCTGGATCTGAGGGAGAGA